GATGATCTACGCGATAAGCGAGCCCCCTTATCAACTGAACGGAGGTATCATATCCGTTATCGGATTATTTTGGGATATTTTGATATATAGTATTACATTAACAGTGGACTTTTCCATTGATACGACGAGAGGCGCTGGTAGTAGTAGTAGTCTGGTGGTAGAAGATTTAATAGCATATTTAGATGGCTTGTCCTGGCTCTTACGTTCAACTTCACGATGTTTAGGCTTCCACGTTTTTGTCGAGGTCGGACGTCTTACCTACGTAGGAAAATCTGTGCACTCGAACAGATGCTGTCAAAACATGTCAGCCGATGGTCCCCAAGCGCAACATTTATAACCAAAGAAGTTTTTTACCTTTATTGGTAATTGGCACGCGTAGGCTGACCCGCCGCCGTCTAGGTCATTGTGTCGCCACTGTCCACAATCAAACATCGTCGATAATCGAAAAACAAACATGAGAATAGGCCTAAACGTCAATACATTTGAAGCGGCAATACTAGATTTTCATGGATATTACTGTATTCATCGGTAGAACTTTAAACAATTTTATTTCGTTCACTGAACAAAAACTGACTGATGAATGTAGATTGTATGTCCTAGATTTGGCCTTTGAATCGATGCTATAATTGGCTACCCTTTACTAGTACCTTTACTGCGTGAGGGCTCCAAAATGGTAGACAAATGGTACGATATGTATAGTGTATAATTTCACCAAGTCCAATAATAGCTAAAAAGTGCAAAGGGAAACAATATAGGCAAAAGTGTTGTACAAAAAGCGTCTTTTACAAGCTGAACAACAACTTTCTCCGGGTAACAAGAAGGATTATGGCCCAACTAGAAAATAGCGACGTAAAACCATCATTTGGAAATTGCTGGTTCATGAAGAAGGAACAATATATCATGATGATTGTGATTTATGCAGTGGGCATGAAAAAATGGAAGAATGGTTGGTAGTCGAACAAACGATTTCCTGCGGCAGAAATGTGTAACTATCACACATATTTTGTCGTATTGTTTACTAACATAAGCCAACATTACTCTTGCCACCCACTGGCAGGCATCAGCTGCAGCTCGTCACATCAAGCTATTGATAAATTGTTTTTGCCAGTCAATCAACCGCATGGCAAAAACAACGTAAACCTGACGATTGACTAGTCTATGGAGCATGACAGACACTGGCACAGCATTCAAGCTCTTAAGCATCAGCTAAGTACGAGATCAGATAATGCCCCTGCTGCAAACCCAGCCTTATGATTGTTTCCTTTACAGTTTAACATCCTCTATTTTTTTTTTTTTTTTTTTAAATATCCATGCTAAATTACATTGTACAAACCTATAGGCACGGTCAAGATGAATGAGTGTTGATTATTGCCATTTTACACTTATAACTGTGTCCTTACACGTGTGACCAGTCAAAACAAGGCACCTCCCATTGTCTATGATGTGCTAGTATGCAATACAGACAAGATGCCACAGCGAATGATTCCGAGAACCGTATTGTCACATATTCAAAACTAAATAAAAAATCATATTAAGAAGAAAATAGTTATATTAGTTGCGCCTATGTTGGCCTATTTTATTATTAAATAGATAAATCACAGAGTCAGAAAAAGTTAAGTGTTCCTTTGGCTAAACGTATTTGTCACTTTTTAATTTAATTTAAAGTTAAATGCACATGCTTAATACTAATTCCATACTTAAGAGAATTGTATGGCTCTTTTCTTTATCTATTCGTATGCGGGTAACCCGCAGAACCGTTCTGACTCGTATTGTGTCAGATCTGGACTGTTTCTATCAACTACTATTGGTACCCGAATGGCTGAACGTAAAAACGTTCGTTGTTTTTTCTTTCGTTGTCTTTCACGAATTTAGCTCAATTGCCTATTTTTTTTTTTTTTTTTTATTAGCTGCATTCGATACGCTTGATTTCTAGATGGCAATTCTAAATAATTGTATTCGTAAATCTGTGGTATTTGTGAAGGCCAACCTATGGCGCTGACAATGCCATTTTGGCAAACGCTATTTTTTTTTTAGAAATTTTATTATATAATTTTTGTAATGACAACTCTGGCCGTCCCTTGTTCCAATATTCGCATTATTAGATGACAGTCATTACTTAGAGACTACGGTATTCGTAATACTTTGTGTTGTGATTTTTAATTAAAATTTATTTTGGTAATTATTACTATAAAATTCTATAAACGTATGAATGTATGGTTGGATTTTTCGTACCCTGTGATACAGATGATAACTGTCTGCCAGCCCATTAGAGATTAGGGTTTCGTCCAGAGGAACGCTGTCTAATCATGAGTCGGATAGTGGCGTCTAATTTATAAATCAATTGAGTGTTACATGTGGAAAACCACGAGACATTATTTTGATAACTTGAGATTGACGTTTCTCTTTTCATAGGTTTGAAGGTATTTTACTGCAAAAAGCTATAACCCTTTTAGGGAAAAACATACACTCGCGTGATTCCAAACGTGGCTTGGGTGGCCAAATGCCTGGCTGACAGATACCGAGACACGTTGCTGCTCTAAGTCCCGCCAGCGGCACATAAAATGCTACATAATTTGTGTGGATAAATTATCATGCTTCGCCAATCCAGCCTAATAAAGATGTAACTGTATTGTAACAGCTTCGACAGAAGCTTATACGGTTTGAAGCCTATACGAGATGCGTAACACGTTTAATGTTTCACGTATCTCGAGGTGTCGTAATGCTTCGATCGACCCGTACCGCACTTTTAGGCTAGTTCACGCTCCAGATTAAGAAACAAACCCTTCACATTTCAGGCCTAGTACTGGCTTTAAACACTGCTGCAGATGGCTAACTCCCATAGCGAAACGAGGTGTGCCTACGTCGCTTTCGAACCTAGTCTGCCACGTGTCCCTGGATTTAATGGGCAACCATGCGGCCACTGTACCATCATGGGGGCCACACTACAAATTTAGAAAAACAAGAATGCCTCAATCTGTTCCGAGCTGCTGAAAATAGTTTACCTGATGAAAGCATTCACTACATCATCGTAAATCCATTTATCCCGAATCGAAATGCTTTCCCTCTGTCCACCTGTAGTGCTTCTTTGCCGCTTGGGCATTCGGATCTCCGCAAGTTTTGCTAGAGCTGCAAGAAGCACTGCGCCGTATCATCGCACGAGTGCAAACACCCGATAACGATAACCGTCCAGCCTTCGCACAGCCACACGAGCAGTGAGGTAAAGGCGATCGAAGACAATTACATGCAGCCATAGGCATCTGTCGAGTTTGAAGGGTATCTATGGCTGCATCAATTGTCGTCGGATCTAGATTCGCCAGCTAATGGGGGGTGAGGAGACTCACAGTGAATCTTGGGGAATTCTAACTCGAAAACACATCTCTAAACAAGGTTTAGGAAATGGCTAGCGATTGAATTAGTACGATCGATCATTTATGGTTTGCCTGCGACAAAGCTAGCTCTGAACAGACGAGTAAAAAATGTAGTGTTATCTTAGCGGATCAAATGTTTCAAGCCGAAGCTGAATCATACGTAAAGATAGTAACTACTGACATCTCCTGAAGTTATAATATTCAAACTCCCTAATGGATTATTTGAGACGAGTTAGTAATTTCTATCTTTATTTTCTTATATTCTACAACATCGAGGAAACAAATTGAAGTCTACGTAAAGCGTCCTCTGATAATGGCGAAAACAAACTTAGTGACACTTTCTTTGTCTTTGAACAGATACGTGTGTTTACGTGAGATACCATTGTCGCGGGACATCTTTGCGCCAGAGGCACAATTGCCTAAAGAAGAACAGTATTTGGTTTACTGTATGATTAAGAGCGATCACAGGTTTTAAAATGTCCGAAGGAAGTGTGCGCACGCCAGTTCACGAGGTTGAGATTGAAAAAAATAATAAAAATTTCACTAAAAATAGTATAGATATTGGTTTCGGAAAATTATTGGTGAATATACGTCTCATTTAAATGTAAGCTTTTGTACAGTAAGCGATTATCCATAAATACGCAAATCATTCGCAGATATTTAACTGTTTTATATTGTTTCGTATATTTTTTTACCTTTCGGCGTCCTAAGCATTTATTATTTGAGCTCTCTAATAGTCCAGACACAAATCTGCTATGTTATTTCAAATATACTAAATGACTCTGTGGCTTGTCAGCAGTTTTGGATATACCGATATTAAGTAACTAAGAATCGTATTAAAGTTCTGCTTGTACGATGAAGGATGTTCGAGAAAGACGCCTCCAGACGGTAAACAGATGTAAAACAGACAGTGAAAGCATTCAGGAACTAAAGGATTCTTAATCGTACGTCTAACGCAATATTAGACATACTTTTATTTCGACTGATGATGATGATTATTGTCAGGGCCTACGCTGGCCTATTTCGTATAACCTACAGGAGTACATAAACGAAGTCTATTAGCAATTCGATAAGGCCACTTACCGGCTGTCGTTGTTACTCATCTGCTGCTATTGACCTGAATGGCCTAGCCACTTATAATCACTCCATTACCTTCAGACAATAAAACATTGTGCAACTTGTGCAGGTTTAATTCGTTTGATTTCTAGAGGAAAAAGTATGCGGGGCATTTGTAGCCGTGCAAACGGTGAATTTTATCATGACATTTTAAACTCAGGAGAAAATTACCACACCTGCATCGGTAGTTTGCTAAGATGGTTTGTTCTGCTTAACTTTTAAACATTTTGTAATCAGCTTTCAATGTCAAATTCATTCCGAGTAATTAAATTCTATAGAAAAAGAGAATTGCCAGTGTTATGTTCTTCTTACGAAACTGTCCTTTGTCACTTCCGCCAAAAGTAAACGTTTGAGAAACGTCGACGCTTTCTCCTACGATGCTTGTTGAACCAGAGTTAGAACTCAATCGGAACAGGATTGAGCCGAGCTAGTCGAGAGGTTCGCTCGATTACTTCAACTCTTAGTTACCGGAAAATGACCAGCTGTTAATTATATAGTTATAAATGCACAAAGGAATATACGGCAAAAGTGCAATTTTTATTACTAAAGACGCAGATCATTAAGCGACACTTCATAACATGTACCGTCTATAAACCACAGCGAATGTACAAGCTTTATTGGCTAACTGTTTCAAGTTTAAGGTCCACCACTGTCTTTATATAATCTATCAGGCACATGCCCTATTATTGCGGAAGCTTGGGTGGACGATTTTGTTCTGCTGTCATGTTGAACGTCCTTTGGCTAGAAGTCACTCGCCACCTAAACTGCTCCATAATCGTTGACATGAACCTTCGAGACGTTTTCGATAGTAGTGTCATGACATATTGTTTTTTTAGCATCATTATAATCAGTAGATTGGGGCTCAATCGACGATTTCAGCCGAATTGAAGTTGTCTTTTTATCACACTACAATTGTGTGTAGATTTGCCTTACCCGACTTGCTAGTCCGCATGCAGCCTGTTGTGCGGTCTCCTATTCCTGCTGGTGCCTCTGTTGCTACGGTCTCCGTACTGCATGCCCGTATTTGGGCTACTATCCGACACTACTACAACCCGGTCATCGGGAAACTGAATTATCACAGTGATGATGTTGCGAGCGATGCAGTCTTTTTCCTTCAGCTACATTTTTCCCTGTCGCTTTTTTGCTCATCGCCGGGCCGGTGTTGTTGTTGTTGTTGTTACAGATGACGAGTCTTATGGCTGTTGTTAGCAATGATGCTAATGGCCGACACTTTTCAAGTCACGTGCTACATATGTTGCAGATTAGATCATCAGAAGGTAGTGAAGAACACGCAACCGCACGCACTGAAACATACACATGCACGCGCTCAGAGGTAAACACACGCATTATCTGCCAAGCAGTCACAGCTTCCGGCAGTGGCAAACAGTCACTGGGTGATGGTGCAATAACCCGATTCGAGGTTAATAACTGTCATCAGTAGCTGATGATACTGCAGGCTTATTTATTGCTCGGCTTACATGCAAGTGAATGGTGAATGTTCGCTAGCTGAAAGCCAATGAGCTTTCAGTTGTCATGGGTTTGTTTATCACTGTTGTTGCTTAAGCACATATTCCAGTTGATCTGTTATCTGCCCTTTGTCCTAACAGTAGTCAAATAGACCTGAATAGGACTGTGACGTAGTTAGAGCGAAGGCAACCGCAAGTTACATAGCTCTATCCGCATCACCGCAGTTTCCACCTGAGAGCGACATTTAGTATGGCAAAAAGTTAAACGTTCCGCTTGTTAATAATCCGCTTTTTAACGCTCCACAGTTTTTCCATTTACATATCTGTGGGAAACTGGTTATCCCTCACTCCAACAGTATGTCCTAATTCCACTCAGTTATCCAGCGTACGACCAGCTCCCAGATAACTGTACCAATTTAATATCCAATGATGAACATCTTCAACGCTGGTAATTATAGGCCACAGTTAGTATATTAGTGGTAGGACGTTGGCCGAAAGAGCATCGGAACCACGCACGCTGATAAAACTTAAAACAGGCTGCCAAAGCTACTGTTACTTGTCTGAATAATCCTAAGCGACTGGCGCTCGCGCGGCAGTACTACATGAGTCGGGAGAGGGCTCTACCGGGAATGGGTACGCAGGGTGAGGACCGGATGGTGGAGAAAGTCCGAAATACGTCGATACGCCAGCGTTTGCGCTGAGTGCATGCTCTAACGCCTGCCGCATCCAACCACATGGGCAAGTACTTAAGGCCTAAATACGATAGTAACGGGCGCGTAGAAGCAATGTTAGAGTCTACTACAAATTCGATGGGTGGCTGTACATTAATTTTAGAGAACTAATAAGTGAATCTTCAAATGCTACATGGATTATCGTTGAAATTTATATTTTTTTCTAGTAAAATGCTTCAGTTAATACACTCGGAAAATTATCTAAACTTAAGGGTCACGCCAACGTCGTTTTCATTGTGATGTCCTGACGCTAATAGTATGGTACACAAGGGCAGAAATGTGCAGAGGGCAGATGATAATTTGAACTTTGGCGGTTGCCGACTGTACTATTATTATGATTATAGCGACCCAAAAAATGGTGTACTACTTTTTTAAAAACAATGACTTTTTTGGAGAGTTATGACGCTAAGGCGCCAATAAAATAGTGAAGTTCAACGTCGATCATAGCCTTACTTGCGCTTGTTCATTTGAACGGGACACCTCGACTACGACCTCCTGGTAGAACACAATCCAAAGGGTAACAAATGATGTTGAGTACCGTTCAGTGCTACCGTGCCGCGTCGCATTATCTTTCGGTAATCACCTGACGTGAAACACTGGAAGGCAATATGATTATGTTGTCCAGCCTTGGTTTTTGGCAATTAGGAAATTTTATCAGCTAAATGAAGATCTATCTTTGTGAAGACGTATCTTTTGTAGACAATTTAGAAATTATTTAATAAGGAAACGAAAACTATTCTTAAATATTTAACGAAAAGATGTCAAACTCTAGTGCACTTGAGATAATTAAAATGAATTGACTTCAGAGGAGCAGACCTCCGCATTGAGTTGCAGGCTAAGGATACTAACGATACTTCTTCAAAAAACTAAAGTAAGTTGAACAATTGTAAAATAAAGTGGACATATTCAAGGACGTTCCAAAGAAATTTCACAGTCTGCTCAAACGCGCGAGTCAGTAGCGGGCTGCCGGTGAACATGTGCACAAAATCGTTACGTATGGGGATGCGTAAGTACCCCATACTTAGTAGTCTTTATACATACTTAATAGTTTACTCGATCTAATGCTACTAGAAGCTCAACCTTTGTTCTACAGCGAGTGGCTACAGGGTACGATGATTGGTGGTGTTTGCACGTCTAATAACGAGAGAACTGTGTCAACGAATAACCTTTTGAGGTATCCAGTGACGTCGCCGCGGAGAGTGCCTCCGTGTCATTTTTGACCTCTCCCGGAACGGCTCTCTGTTGTAACTGCTCCTCTGATACTGTATTAGCGCAAAAAAAAAAGATTAAAAATTCTTTTTTTTAGTATTGCTGTCCACAGTAGATTGTTTAAATTGTTAACACTGAGTATCTCAAAGATTGCGTGTAAGGTACGTTTCTTTAGCAGACGAAAGCTTTTAGACCTGCTGGCTTCCAAAACGTTACAATTTATTGTAAATTTCCTGCACATATCAGACGTAGTAGTTAGACCAAACGCATTCAATATTCTATTCTTGTTTGTTGCTTCGCAGCTCACGCATCCCTACCAATGACTACTAAAGAATATTTTCGAACATTGACTTTAATTAGTTCCAGAACGAAGCTCTTACTTTTCCGCATGCTAGGCAGCTTTGAATCATCAAAAAGACAGCTTTCGGCTGGAGCTGGCCACTGAAAGTTCAACAAGCAAAGACCCTGAACTGAAAAAAATCCCTGATGACATCCATCACAAAGGCCACATACAATTTAGAACCCGAAATCTGCCCCAGGTTGTCATCAGCCCAAAGAAATAATGATGTTCACACGCTTGAAGGTCTGTGGTAGAAAACAGTGGCTCTAACGCCTATATTATCCGAACCGTTCATCCCTGTCACGTACTGTGGTGCGATCGGTGACTGCCCTGTTCTATAGCTGAACGCGCGCTGCAGGACAACTAGCTGTTGGCCGTAAAATAGCCCAAATCAATTGGCGAGTTGAATTGGACTGAGTTTCCCAACCCGACTCCTGTTGATCTTGATCACCAACAGTAGATGGAACTAACACGTTAACTTTTAGATATCAACGAATACAAATCAGCTTGACGCCAATTGATGCAGATGGTATATGGTGATTTCGCAAGTCTTAATAGCAGCTGTAGCTGGTAACTTTGAGCAGTTACTTTAACTTCACGTGACTGCTTTTGTTAGCTGAGCTAACAAGCATAAAACTGATCGCTTCCGAACAGTTCGGTGTCCGGATGAAATAACGTTCCTCTCCGTAATAGTTGATCCTGATAAGCAACAAATTCATTCAAGGGCTCTGCCAGCATCGTTTGAAACCAGACTTTTTTCAAAGTGAAAGGGCTCTAAAGTAGATTATTGTACGTGTTGCATAAAAGAATATATTATTGGTATGATAGTACGTAATTGAATTGATTGAACAACGTGCCGGTACAAAAGATGTATGCATTGAAATCGCTGCAGAACAATTCACAGGCCAGCTTTATCTATGGATAGCCGTTAAGGGCTGCTATATGCCATCAGCTGATCTCATCAGATCTCCGCACAAACAGTTGCAGTCAGAATGACGCAGGTTTGACCTAGCTTCAAATTGTTATATTACTCTAAGCATAGGACAGAAGCTATGAGACAGGTGCCGCTTAGTTTGTGCCTTAGGATGTTAGGCTAACAGAGGTTCAAGAGCGGGCTAAAAAGCATACGAAGAAAAAAATTAGTAGAATGAAAGTCGGTTTTGTTGGTCACTCATAGAAGAATTTGATTTTCCTATCATCTATCCTTTCTCCTTTCCATCCTTTTTCTACCTACGTAGGTCTGAAACGATGTCAAATATCGATTAAGCCTCGATAAATAGTTCTTGCTTGAGGTTTTAATTCTATTTAATAATTAATGAGTTGGTTTACTCTACTGTTTTTGAAGGTAATGCTAGCCACATCGAAACTGAATCTATTGAAATTGGTACTTTACAATGAAGATGCCGTGGACGTATTAGGTGTGTCTAATGTCTAAATGCTGCTTTCATTATTTCTGCGGGCTTGAAGACATCTTAAGTAGAGCAATTTGGCGTCATCATATGAAAAAGGCTCTATCTTTTAGGTTACCAAGGTCACGTCCTATTGACATATTGCTTTCCTGGTAACTGTTGTTTAACCATACGATCGGTACCGTAATCTTCGTCAAATCTTCGCGGGAGCGCTTGGGAGCGAAACAACAGCAGCCACTGCACATATTCCGTTTTATATATGACATTATAAGTAGTAGTAGTAGTAAGATGTATGTCGCAAGCTTGAAAAGCTAGCTACGTTAGTATAGAATACGAACATTGAAGTTCTGCTGAGTCCACCTATCCCGCTTGTATTATGCAGTACTTAAGTATAATGCCCTACAGATGACGCATTTGCTTACGTTCATCTAATCTTTGCTTGTTTTGATCTACAATGGAAACATTATCATGTAGATTGGAATAGGAATACGAACGTGGATAGGCTAAGTTCAACATCTTAACAGGGCAAAGTCCAAATAATCTGTTATGTTAGTATACGGCTCAAACCCAAGAATGTTACATGTAATACTGCATTGCATTAAATCAGTAATGTAATAGATACAAAAAATTAAAAAAATTCTCAAGATAGAGTTATATGGACAACTTTTATAGCATCGCTTGTATTCGAGGTTTTTCCAGGTTGTTTCAATCACAGCAGTGTAGATCACGTTGATGCGATACGCCATCACATATATAGTTTAGCTAAAAATACAGTTATCGTTTGAGGCAAACGAAACAGCGTGACCGTCTGCGTGTCTCAGTTTGCTGCGCTTCAGAGATTTAGCAAAAAAAAAATCTATAGAATGATGGGTTCTTCTGCTTTCTGATCATAGTGTGTAACTGTCAATTTGCTCATAAATCGTTCAATATTCCCCGGAAACGGCTCAAATCAGCCAGCCTAAAGAGGTTGGCAAACAAGCAACTGCTAGATCTATCTCGTACGAAGCGCTCACTTCAAAAGCTGTTTTATGACAGGCTGGCCTAACCGGACTACCTAGTCTTTTGACGAGAACTGCCTTCCTTTTCATTTTTGCGATCAAGTGATCACAATGATTCGGCAGAGTTTGATGAAATACAACATTGTATTTTTATGCGCTTTACGCCTACCTGTTGAAGCTTACATCCAGCAGGAATTCGAAGACTGATGGTATGCTCTCGGGACAAGCTTTTACAACTAAAATATTAGAAAGTTTGATTCAATTAGCTAGGAAGAGCCTCATACTTGTAAGTACCTGTTGTGTACGAGAGTGGATTGGTGATCAGCTGTTTCTTATTGATTTAGACACGATATACTGGATTGAATGAATCACTAATACGAAGTGTCCGAGGTAATTGCGTCGTCCTTCAATCTGCTAGACGAGGAAAGAGACTTCCGTTATTTGATTTGGTTAAATGTAATTATGACTTGCCACAAGCGTAATTAAACTCATGTAAATAAGCAAATGTTTTTGACTCGCTATAAGTAACAATAATTGCTAAGGCCGTCCATCTTTGAACCCGGCTTAAATTGCTTGTCTAGCAATAGCGGTTATGACAATCGTTCACAAGTCGCATGAGACCATAACTAGTTCAACCATTGCATTCAGTATCATTTGTTATTAATGTGACAGAGGCTACCATGCGCCTGGTACAGGGACTCCTATTGTATTTGACTAAACTAGAAAAGTGCACATCTGACTCTCTAGCAACAGAAAATCTAAATTTCCACAGACTGACGCCGTCAATCTATATTATCAAGTAATTAATAATTCTGAGGTAATACTAAGCAATCTAATAGCTATCTTCCAGTGGAAGACAAAGGTAAATGTAATACTTTGCTCCTTAATTGTTAAAATTTCATATCTTTATAAGGCGTATAACACATTAAGGAAAGGATATTCCTCAAGCCTCTCATGAGAAATTTTTCAGGATAGAGCAATAGGATATTTGTATTTCGGGCGTAAAAATTCATTTTGATTCCCACCTAGTCAAAATATACATTTGTAAATCCTACAGTTGAGTACACCTCAGATGGGTCTGATCAAATTGTACATGGAGCCGTATGTAATGGTTTAAAATTGTACAAATGCCATATGCGTTATTCAAATATACCCTTATTTTTCATACTTGTGCTTATTTTTCTAACGGTGATTCAAGTTAGTTGAAACCACAGTGAGGGAAGATTATCTTAAGACGTTCTCAACAGTGATCGTTGCAGTTGCTAGATACCGTTTTTAAATTCGGACATACCATCATATTGTGTAACTAGGCAAGCAAGTCGTATATTGTTTGGTCAATTTATCCATCAAGGATTATTACTACATTTGCAATTATCGCTACCAGGAAAAAAAACAAGATTGTTAACTGGACACAATGGCACGGAAGCCTAACGCTTGTAACTGTGCGAATTTGCCACTGTTTATCGAAATAGCAAAAAATCGCTTTACCGCCTATACAACCAGAATGGAAGCTGAAACTCAACTCGGCAAGAGACGATACTTCGAACATATGCGAAGTACCAAAAGGCTACGGTAAATATATTAGAACAACATACTTTATAAGAGTTTCGTTTTCATGTAAAAAATGTTTACCTGA